TAGTTCATCCTAAGGTAAGATAAGTTCATCCTATGGTAAGTTTAGTTCATTCTAAGGTAAGATTAGTTCATTCTAAGGTAAGATTAGTTCATCCTAAGGTAAGATTTGTTCAACCTAAGGTAAGATTTGTTCAACCTAAGGTAGGAGTTCTCTCACGGTGGAGATGTCTGATGAAGGGAACAGCCAATCAAAATTAAGCTCAGATATGATTAGGATTGTGTTGTCAATGTTCCAGACCGTCAGAGATGAGATTGGTTTTATTTTATTCTTCTCTATGTGTCCTTCTGAAGAAGAAAGTGAACTTAAATAAACTTTGACTTCTGTCTCTGTTCTCCTCATAAAACAAGAAGGAGAATATTTCTTCCTGATTCTACTTTCACAACAACTCAGTGAAGGAGTCGGTTCCTCCCAGATAAAACAGAACCTCATCAGTGCCGTTCATCATTCTGACTGTAGCTTGGCTCATCTGCTCTGGGTTTTATATTCAGCAGCCGACAGACTCAGACCTTCGGCTCGTCTGAATCTTCAGCAGCTGGAGAAGGTTCTGCAGCATGGCCCGAGTCCAGAAGAGTAGTCCAAACATGAATTATCTGTTTCCAGACTGAAACAAAACCAGAGCTGAACGTACCTTCTGTCCAGGCAGACCGGCATCACCAGGGTTTCCTTTGGGTCCGGGACGGCCCTGCAGACACAAACATCCAGACAACTGGGTCAGAAACTCTGACTGGTCCTGGTTCCGGACTGATTCCCATTTACAATCAAGCTAAAAACTAAAAACTCGGTGAAACAAGAAATCCAGTGAGACAGAAAGCTCAAGTTAGACAGGAAGTTCAAGTGAAACAGGAAGTTCAAGTGAAACAGGAAGTTTGAGTGAGACAGGAAATGAGACAGGAATTCCAGTGAGACAGGAAGTCCAGTGAGGGGTTGAACCAAGATGGCGATAAGATCAGACGTACATTAACGTGGACACTGTAACCAGGGCTTAATTTGTAAACCAATTGATGCCGGAACTCAAATAGCAGGCGGTCCGGTTAAACATCTGTAAACATTTGATTGATTAAAAACAGGTCTCTCTTGTAAATGGGTCCTCGAGACTCAATGAGACTAACAACCTGTATAAATAAAGGTTGAATTGAAATTACTATTTTAGAGAAGCATCCCCCCTACACGAACTCTTCTTTGCTGAATTCAGTCCTGCGTGTTGTTCTGCTCCAGTCTTGATCACCACCGCCTTCAGGCGCTTCAGTTCTCATTTGTCTAAGGACAACCCATCCATCCATTTATTTCATGAAAGTAAATTGTCTTTTTGACATTTTCTCTGTTATTTTGACAAATTAGTGCCGTTGTTTTGAAATGTGATGTAATGTGAATAATACATCAAACATTTCACTCTTATTTTTACTGTAAGCATTTTTATTTATTATCTCTGAAATGTTTGCAGGAGTTCAGACACATCAGCAGTTGTGCGCACTCTGCTGAGCTGTCTGGAGACGCTCCTGTGCATAAAACATGTACTGTCTCAGGGCGCACAGCTGAAGGTGGATGAAGATGCTCAACCCCGTGGGACATGTGGTCCGCATCTCTGCTGAGCAGGAGCGTGCGCTGGTGCGCATAGTGCGGCTGGAACATCCACTCCACAGAACGTCTCCTCTTGTTATATTTTTAATAAATAATACAAATAAAAACGTGCGATGACTTTGGACTTTTATGGGCGGAGATTTGAGTTGCCTTATCTGAGCAGTCAAAATGAGAGTTCCCGGACCTTGTTCCGGCAGGATCCAGCTCAAATTAACCACTGGCCGTAACTATCTGCACAACTAAACCAAGAAGACGTTAATTGTCACCAACAATCACAAAGACAAGAAAGAGGACCGTGAGTACTCTCCTCAGTCAAGGATTTCAATTAATGTGAGATCTTTATAACGTTACGAGAACAAATTACGCCGCTCCAAACCGACTAGCTGAGAGCAGCGTGGCACATCGGCTAACGTGAGAAATGACTAAACCGAAGAATACTAACTTGGTTCAACTTGCAGATATGGAGACTGAAACAGCAAAAGAAAAGTAACTGTTAGAGAAATGCACTCCTTCACTTGTTCGGCTGGAAACAATGGTGAACGTAACTCAACACCCAACACGCCGGAGAAACAGAAAGTGAAGAAAGATAAAAATGAACCGACAGCTCAACACGAGGAGCCGCCATTATCAGAGCTACAAAACACCATAATCACAGCAGTCTTTGAGAAGATTAATGAGAGAGCGGATCAGACCGTCATGGCTGTCCAGTATAACACAGTCCAAATTAATGACTTAAGTCATTGGAACTCTGCCACCAAGAAATAACTGATCTGAAAAAACAAAATACCACACTGCAAGAACGTTGTAAACTCCTGGATCAGAAAGTTTCTGAGCTGGAGCTCAAAGTCAATGACGCAGATGGTTACAGCCGCCAACTTAACCTACGACTGTACGGAGTCCCTGAAGACAAACCTACGACTGTACGGAGTCCCTGAAGACAAACCTACGACTGTACGGTGTCCCTGAAGACAAACCTACGACTGTACGGAGTCCCTGAAGACAAACCTACGACTGTACGGAGTCCCTGAAGACAAACCTACGACTGTACGGAGTCCCTGAAGACAAACCTACGGCTGTACGAAGTCCCTGAAGACAAACCTACGACTGTACGATGTCCCTGAAGACAAACCTACGACTGTACGGAGTCCCTGAAGACAAACCTACGACTGTACGGTGTCCCTGAAGACAAACCTACGACTGTACGGAGTCCCTGAAGACAAACTTACGACTGTACGGAGTCCCTGAAGACAAACCTACGACTGTACGTTGTCCCTGAAGACAAACCTACGACTTTACGGAGTCCCTGAAGACAAACCTACGACTTTACGGAGTCCCTGAAGACAAACCTATGGCTGTACGGTGTCCCTGAAGACAATAAAGACAACTAGAAATTTCTTGGAGAAACTTTGACGGGGACTGTCAGGCTGCTGCCAATTAAAAAAATTGATCTGACAGGACTATGTGTTGGGGTTCGCTCCAGCTACCACTATACCAAATTTCAGCTGAATAGCTCTAAAAACGCCTGAGTTATCATATTTTTTTCCTTTTTAGGTAAGGTGGCCATCTTGGATTTTTGATTTTCAGTCAGAATCTATTTAGGGATCATTGTCAGCTACCAGTATGCCAAATTTCAGCTCAGTATCTTTAAAAATGGCCGAGTTATCATATTTTTTTCTCTTTGAACAAAGGCGGCCATCTTGGATATTTGATTTTCATTAGGAATGTATAAGAAGTTACTCTCAGCTACAATCATACTTAATTTCAGCTCAATATCTCAAAGGATGACAGAGGTATAGTCAGTTTTGTGTTTGTTGAAGTAGCTATGGCAGCCATCTTGAATCAAAATGGCTCCAAACATTATTCAGCTCTAGAGATACATGTGATGATTACTTTCAGTGAGTTTCAAACAAATCCAACAGTGAGTTTCTGTTTTCTTCAGGGACCTCTACACCAAGTCATGTGACTTTACAGCAGCAGATACTGAGGAGTGTTCCCCCATTCATTTCCTAAGGGGAAATATGGTGTCTTTGTTAGCAAAATATGTCACCATGGTAACTCCAATTGCCAATAAAAGTAATAGCTCACTTTTCGACATTGAGCCGGTCATGTGTGGGGGTACATGTTGCGGTTCGAGCCACATTAACAGTAACGTAGCAAAAATAAAGAAACGCTCATTAGGTGTAGAATAACAGGTGCGTTCCATGGAGGCTCTCCTATGCTCTGCAGTGACAGTCCCCAATAACATTTAAAAATCTGTCCAAGAACTATGTGAAGGACTGCTACCAGAGACCCAAGTGAGGACGGTGCTCTCAGCAATGGACATTGATTGATTAAACTCATCCCCAAACCCAGAAAAGATCAATTGATTATTGAAAATTGGAGACTAATTCGTCTTCTAAACAATGACGCTAAAATATTTGCAATCATCTTTGCCAAACGACTGAAATTAGGTTTAAATGATATTATTGGTGAAGAGCAATCTAGATTTATGCCTGAGGAAACATCCATCCATCCATTATCTTTATCCGCTTCTTCCATTTTGGGTCACGGGGGTCGCCGGTGCCCATGTCCATCAATCACTGTGCGAGGGGCGGGGGACACCCTGGACATGTCTCCAGTCCATCACAGGGACACATAGAGACAAACGAGACAAACAACCATTCACTCTCTCACTCACACCTAGGGACAATTTAGAGTCACCAATCAGTCTAACATGCATGTTTTTGGTCTGTGGGAGGAAACTGGAGCACCCGGAGAAAACCCACGCATGCACGGAGAGAACATGCAAACTCCACCCAGAGGGGCCCCTGGACCGGGGTTTGAACCAGGGACCTGCTCGCTGAGAGCCTGAGGAAACATTGTAACAATATTCGAATAATATTGGACATGATTGATTACAAAGAATTTATACTTTATGACAGCTTTATTCTGTTTATTGACTTATATAAAGCCATAAATCATAAATTTATGTTCAAATCTAATAAATGTTTTGGATTCAGAGACGATTTTTCAAAGAGAATTAATACCCTGTATCAGGGCTGTAAGAGCTCGGTCAAGCTGGCACATGGGACGAGAAGACTGAACATCAATCGAGAATTTAGACAAGGTTGTCTTTTAAGTCCATTCTTATTTCTTCTTGTTACACAGATCATGTCTGTACATGTTAAAAAAGGTAAAGTTCAGGGAATCTCAGCTCTAGACAGACACTTCAAATGATCACAACTGGCTGATGATACTGCAGTATTTATCTCTAATGTACATGAAGAGAGTAATGAT